CCTACACCAACCAGCCGCTGACCTAAAATATCTTACTTGTCCATGGCCGTTTGCACAATGGGGAATTGACATACTAGGCCCCTTCCCACCTTTGACCGGGCAGAGAAGATTCCTTGTTGTAGCAGTTGACTACTTCAAGAAGTAGGTAGAGGCCAAGCCACAAGTAACCATTACTGCTCAGAACGTTCAGAACTTTTTTCCCGAGGAGTATCATATGCAGATTTGGACTACTAAGGGTAGTGATCTCAAACAACAGCAAATAGTTTGAAAATATCAAATTTTAGAATTGGCACACGGAGATGGGCATAAAGTAGAACTTCACCTTGCTCGCACATCCTCAAGCCAACGGTCAGGCCGAGCTAACAAACAGGGCGATCCTCCGTAGCTTCAAAGCTCGACTTTCCCGAGTTAAAGGTTTGTGGGTGTACTGAAGTGAAACACACTTCAACAGGCCCAATGTGTTATGGGCCTAACGAACGACCATCAAGATGGCGACAGGTGAAACACACTTCAACCTGACATATGGAACTGAAGTCGTGATACCAACAGAGATCGAGGTACCAACTTTATGGTCTGAGACTTTTGATGAAGAGACTAACGGGGACGATTTATGGACTAACCTCGACTTAATAGAAGAAGTTCGAGACCTCGCCTACATTCAGATTGCAGCATACCAGCAACGAGTGGCTCGATACTATAACGCCCAAGTCAAGAAACACCAATTTAGAATTGGCAACTTAGTACTCAGGAAGGTTATGGTGCCTGAGCCCGATGTAGGAAAGTTTGGCACGAACTGGGAAGGCCCTTATAGAATCTTTAGAGTTATCGATGAAAACACATACGAGCTCAAAACATTGAAGGGGAAGATGGTATCCCACACATGGAATAGAGACAACTTAAAGAAATACTATCTGTGAAGAGTTTTGAGCTACGTAGGATGCCAAATCGCTTTTAGCACTAAGTTTCCGAGGCCGACCTCCCAACAGCTTGGCTAAAAGAAACCTAAGGGATTCCAAATCGCTTTTAGTACTAAGGCACCTAGGCCGACCTACTCGGCAGCTCAGCTAAAAGAAGCCTAAGGGATGCTAAATCGCTTTTAGCACTAAGGCACGCAAGCCAACTTACTAGCAGCTCGGCCAAAGTCTAAGATATAAATTTTTCACCAGTAGAGAAATCATACATGTATAGAAACAAAGAAAATTGCATTAAGTATGTAGCCAAAATACCAAAAAAAAAGAAGAGAAAGAAGAGAGAAAAGAAAGAGGAAAACCCTCCAATAACAAAAGTTTGATAATACGGATGCATAGGCCCAAGAAACATCAACTTATAGGAGCACATAAGCTCTTGGAAACAACAGAAGGAAACAACCAACATCAAGGTTGACCTTTTCTTCATCACCGCCTTGCAGCACATCATTGACATCGTCACTCTCCTCGCCTTCTTCTGCGCCAGCTACCTCTTCATCTTCATCAGGAGTCAAGGGCTCCCTATCGACCTGCAGAACGACCTCATTCAACACGTCGTTGACAGAGAAAGTGCTGAAGTCAAAATCAAGATGCAGATTCTTTAAGTAGCGGCGACAAATCTTAAATCCCCTTCTCATTACGGGGACTGCGTTCTCCACTTTTTCCTAGGCATATTCAAGGGAGTCATGGAAACGTTCATTGGCTACCAGTTCTTCTCGGCAAATATCGTCTGTATACTTTGCCTGCCTCTCTTCTAGTTGGCACTCCGGGGCGGAAATGGTCTCCCGGGCCTCGTCAAACTCGCACTATATCTTACCACTCAGCTGGATAAATCGCTGACAGTCTTCCTTGGCATTAAGCTGGATTCCTCACATCTAAAACTACAGAGCATCGACGCTAGACTACAGCTCAAGCCTCTCTCTCCGACCTGAGGCGACCTGATCCAGCAGTACATTCCCCATGGTGTTCGCCTACCAAAAGAAGAAAAACATAATCAGCACAAGAACTACATAACAAAAACACAAAAGCTTCAAAAGGCTGGAAGATAAACCTGAAGGATACAATGAGTCATCTGAGCTCCAACGTTGGTTGGATCCAAGCCCTGGTAATAACGCACGTCTTCCGAAAGTAGCATGCCTCTTCCCATCTGGAGGGCCACATACGGGTCATTAAGGCGGTCGAGTATAGAAATGTCAACGTTCGGGACGAAGCGGGGTATGTCAGAGGTACAAGGGCTGGCAGCACGTTCCTCTTGGTTGACCTAAGGTTGAAAGGCAATTAGTCCCATAGAGTCTTGGTTGGTACTCATAGGGTTGCCGCCTTCCTCTAGGTCAATGACAGGTGGAGCAAACGACGATGACCTCACCTCGGCACTGGCCGAGGTGCCCTCCATCGATGAGCGACCAACCCTCATCTTTTCCTCGAGGCCTTCTTCTTGGGTTCCACCAAAAGTGATTCCATACTCGCCACATTTGAAAAAAGCGGGAAAAAGATTAGCCAAGCTAAAGGATAAATAAGAAAAGCAAAGTACCAAAGGCAAGTTGGTTGACCTACCTATATGGCTCAGGCCGGCCCGAATAAGCATATTCTCGGCCAAAAAATTTTCTACGTTAAAGTTCTAGCGCATAAGGCGTTGGAACTCACATCACAACTCGTCGTCAAACTCTACATCGAATTTTCGGCAATCTCTCTGCCATATGGTGTCCATGTTCCAACTGGTACTATGAGAGAGGAAGAAATATCTATTCATCCTATCTTTTGACTTTCGAGGGAAAGCCATCTAAAAAATTGTGACCTTTGTAGAAAGGAAGATAAAAGCAATAGGGCACATTGGGAACCTTCTCCATAATACACAGCTCGACAAAGATATCTAAATCCAACGGATAGTTGAGGTGATGGCTTAAAGAAATCAAACCTACTAAAGTTCGGTTACCATTGGGATGAAGCTAACCTAAAGAGACACCATAATGAGAAAGTACCGTAGGGATGAAAGGATGTAAAGGAAAATGAAGACCAGCAACCAACGCCTCTTCGAAGACATAGACCTCATCTCGACCGTGACTCTAGGGAAGATGGTTGGGGTCGGGTTGGATACATTCAAACTCATTGGGGATTTGGTAAAGGGTATACTGCTCGATTATTCACTCTCCAAATAGCTCAGTAGGACCAAAGGGAGACTCCCCCTCTTGGGCCCCCACCTCGGCCTTCGATTAAGATGACAAAGTCTTGGCCTGAAAACCCTCATCGTCATGGGGGGAACTCCTCCCCCTCTCCCACGGGAAATTTAGCGACCTACCCTCAGATGGATTGAAAGACATACTTACAAAGGAAGATTACTCACCAAGGGAAAAAGACAGGGAAGCCGGTGCCGACGACGAACAAGATTACGGCAGGTTAACTGACAGCAACACATCGATCGAAGTCTCCTCTGATCGATCACCCTCCTCTTTAGAAGAAAAGGCCAAAAATAGTGCGAGTGGGACCTTAGTGGGGACCCCATATTTATAGTCCACTAGGAAGAAAAATCAATGGCTGAGGTGCGCTACTAGCAAATCAATGGTCAAGAAGACGTTGCCGCGCAAGGGCTAATTGAATTTTAAATCTTGCGCATCCATTGAGCACGCCCATTTGAAATTTGAATTCTACTGCAGTTCCGCCTTATCGTGAACCGGGTCAGGTGAGAGCGAACAACTTTTGAACCAATCAAACCAATTACCGTATTGAGAGCTACTCCTTTCGCCGAGCTGACGATGGCTCAGGAGTGACATGTGGCTTTTAAGTGACCCCTCGGTGCTAAGTAAGTGGATCACCTCGACAGGTTGGCCTATAACACCTCGCCCAAGCCGACCTCGAATACCTCGGCCAAGCCGGGCTAATAGGTCTCAGCAAATAGCGACCTACTTCAGAGACCGGCTGAGCTACGAGAAGTACCTTCGGCAACCTGCAAGGCGAGCTTGTTGACTTGTCACATAGATCCGTTACCAGTCCTAGATCTCTAGAGTACTAATGAGTCGACCATTAGGCTGGCCTACCGCATCGCATGCATCAGAGTTAATCTGACGGACCTCAGCCCTAGTGCAAATTACGTAATAGACGCCATTACTCTCCCCACTTCACGGAAACGGCTCAGTGAGAACCTAAGTCCCGTTGCAAGAGGTCTCAGGCCACTCATGTCTATATAAAGCACTCATTTTCACTTGAGAAGGTAGGCGCGCCCAAGCTCTCGCATTCTCTTTATCTCTTAAAGAACTCTCAAGCACAATTCGTTGACTTAAGCATCGGAGTGCCCACCCTGAGTAAAAACAACCCGGGTACTCTAACTCTACCACTTTTGTGGAACCATTCAGCTCAGCCAACCTTAGCTCGGCCTAGTATAGCTCAGCTACCGACAAGGCAAGCATTCGAATCGGCATCCGAATCATCAGACACGTGAGAGTTGCCAGATTGCGCTACATCTCTAACCATTGGGGATTCTCTGATGGCTAGTTTGTCGGGCAGGTTGTGCTCGGCCCATTACGGGCCCGTGGGCCGTGCCATGCCATCCTTGCCCATGAACTTATAGCCCTACGGTTCACACGATCATACCGTACCTTGACACGGCCCAATTTACACATCTAACATCTAGGTATGTGCCAGCTTGGATCTTAAAAAAAAACACATGGTTTTCTTGGGCCGAGAAATTAGCAGTTGGGCTAAGCTCTACGGCTTAGCTCTCCATCACAGATCTTTACAACTACGTGGCGTTCTATGAACTTATGACATGTTACCGGAAAAGGTCGATCTACCCAACGGTCCAACGCAACGCAAGCACAATCGTAAAACCTCGAACTTTCTTGGCCTCGAACCCTCCACTCTCCAGAATCTTCTGTAGAGGTTCCTGGTATATGTGGAACCCACGTCACCTACTTACTTCATGCGAAGCCAAAGCCATCCACGTTACATCAAATAAATGGGAAGGCCCAGATCGGTGACGTGGAACTCTATCTTCCACCATTCGTGCTGCTCCCGGATTCTATATAAACATTTCCTCTCCCATATTCTCGCAAGACGAAGTGCATGGTTGGTTACTCGAGCAAGTTGAAACTTGAAAGCTAGCCGTAGCTGATAGTCGTAACGCTCGGTTTCTCGCTCTTGTGCTGACGATTTAGCTTTCATTCAAATCTCCTCAAAGCGATCATCGTTCAGATGGCGAGCTCAGTATCCATGCAATCCATCTTGGTGAACCCCGTGGCCGTGGGGCGCCTCGGTCACAGATGCAGGCCATCAAGCATGGTCTTCCCCTCTACATACTTCCCACGCCAACAAAAGAATGGCTGCACTCTGCAAGTTCGCTGCATGGCTGAGGTAATAAGTCCGGCATCTCGTTTGTCGCTGAGAGATATGCTAAATCTTTGGCCCTGGTTTCGTTTCTTTTAGTTCACCAACACCAACACCTAACATCTTTGGTTTATTTGTCGGTGTACCAGGAAAGCCAGAAAGAGCAGAAGTCATCGCCGGTGAGTGCTCCCCCGTCACCACCCCAGCCCACCTCCCCTTCTGCTTCACCAAAGGTGAGTTTCTATGATTGCCCATGCGCGTGAGTTTGGAAGTTAGCTTCATCGTCCGACTGACGCATGCTTTAATCTTGATCTGGTTGTTTCGTGTTTGTGCTAATACATACTACAGGTCAGCACCAAATTTACAGACGTGCTGGCGTTCAGTGGGCCCGCACCCGAGAGGATCAACGGCAGGCTTGCGATGATCGGGTTTGTAGCTGCGATGGCAGTGGAGCTGGCCAAAGGTGACGACGTGGCGGCACAATTGGCGAACGGAGGGCTTACATGGTTCTTGGGGACCACGGCCGTGTTGTCTCTTGCGTCGTTGATCCCGTTGTTCAAGGGAGTCGACGTGCAGTCGAAATCGAAGGGTTTGATGACGTCCGACGCAGAGCTCTGGAACGGGAGGTTCGCCATGTTGGGCCTGGTGGCACTGGTCTTCACCGAATATGTGAAGGGTGGGGCCCTTATTTAGATCTTGAGTTTTGGGCTTTTTCTTTTTTTTCTTTTTTTTTGGGCTTTGGCTTTGGCCTGCCGCTGATTTATTGATGAGGCTGGCTTGCTGCTTGATGCTTTGTAGAAAAAAGAAACCATAGAAGAAGTGTATGAATGATTGTGAGATTACATAACAGAAGAAGCTTTAGATGTGGCATTTGTATTCAATTTCATTATGCAGTTAATTAAAGTTACAATGAATGAAATTACCATTACCAATTTCATTTGTATTGATCTTCAATTTGGATCTCCCTGCTTTTAAATTTTAACGATCTAGATTGGTTTACAAAGACTAACATAAGAGGCAGAATGCAATTCATCTCTCCTATGATCGAGAGATCGGATTTGGTCTTTTAGACTCTTTACAGAACGTTCTTCATAGCCATTTACAGCCGTGCAATATCTTTTGTATTTATATATTTTTTAAAGAGATATTTCCAATACACGATTACAAAGGAGTTTTTTTGGGTAATAGCTACAACCCTACAAAGGAGTTGTGAGTACGGCCTTTGATCATCAAATCCGATTTGTATGCAGAAGTAAACCTGCCTCCTCTACCTGTTCATCATCAGCCGGGCATTGGGCTCGTCGGGTCGAAGCCATTCAAAATTTGGTGAAAGAATTGGGTTCAAACCGGGGAAAGGCAGGTTTACCCGGTGCACCCTATGGTGTATTGCGCCTGGTCCCATGGGCATTGCCGCAACACCCACACCCAAGATAGAAAAAAGTGTGAAATTCGACCTTAGCTGAAACCTCCCCAGAAGTTGCTGACCTCAGCTGAAAGCGCTTGGCAATCACCTCCCCTGAACTATCTAATGTAATTATACCTCTTTAGAATTCTCTAACAAGATGTACAAAAATGTCTAAAATATCCAAACCAACCCGTGAATATTCCTAATTTTAGTTAAATTAATAGTATAATCTCTAATAAATAACAATATTTTAATCTCCAGTAATTATTGAAAATTTATAGTAAAAATGCACAACTATTGAAAATATACTGATAATTAAAATACAATAAATAGTGTAATCTCAAATAATAGTTTAATTTCTAATAAACATTAATCAATAAATTATAACAAAATACAATAGGTATAATAGATTAAATTAAAAAAGTTAAATAATCTCCAATAATTATTGAAAATTTTCTTTTAAATAACAAAACAAAAATAGATTATACATAATTATTGAAAATATATTTATCACAAAAAGTAAATACTTATTTAAAATACAATAAATACTAATTTTAGCATAAATAAATATATAATAAATATAGATTAATATTTTAAAATTATTAATAATAAATATTAATTTTTTGAAAGTTATTTTGTAGAATTATTAATTGATATAAGTGAAATTAGTTATTTAAAAAATATCATTATTTAAAATTTAAAATATTAATTATTTATTGAATTTAAGAATCCATAAATTTATAATTTATACTATTATTACATCATTTCGTTATTAATTTTTGAAAAATATTAAGTTATTATTAATTTGAATATTATGTTATAATTACTTTTCTAGTTTTAAGAAATTTTTAAAACGTATTTCATAATTTCATTATTTAGTAATTTAGTTACATAAAATATTTCGTTATTTAAATATTTAAATAATGTATAAAATATTTAATTTTTTTTGGTATTTGAATTTTACTTATTTTAAAGATATTACATAATATTAAATATTTTTTATATAATTATTTAGATATTTTTAATATTTTTATTTAAGTTATTAGTTATTGAAAATTATAAATAATATCTTATTTTTAATGTTGATTTTTATTATTTGAATAACATTTAAATTGAATAATCCAGAAAACCATAATTTATTTTGTTAGTACATAATTTCTTGATGAACTTTGTAAAATAATGAAATTATTAATAATATGAATATTATAATCTATTATAATTATTTTTTATGTTTTTAATAAATATTTAAAGTTATTATATAATTTTGTTAGAATATTTAAATAATTTTTAAATTGTAATTCTATCTTTCTTTATTTAGATATAGATAAAAATGGAGGAGGGGATAAATAAGAATTAGAGATAATTTAGGAAAGAAATAGAAATTAGACATAATTTAGGGGAAAGTGGGGGAGGTAGTTTAAGAGAAATTTTAGGAGATAATATTATTTAGGTTATTGAGAAACATGTGGGAGAGAGAGAGAGAGAGAGAGAGAGAGAGAGAGAGAGAGAGAGATTTTAGGTAATTTTTATGGGGAAGGAGAGCATCTCATTGGTTGTTTAAAAAATGACATGGAATAAAAAATAAAAAATCCAACAAAAGGAGAAAATTTCTAGACTTCTGTGTTTTAGTATATATATATATATACACACACACTAGCGGGTGTTAAGTAAAAGTAAAACAATAGAAATACATAAGTGTATATAATTGTTTCATATTTTAACTTTCTTATAACCAATCCGATCCTCGACCCAAGTTGGTTGGATTCTCGTATTTGACATTGGTTTAACAATTTTCCAACTCAAACAAGTTAGGTCAGTTTCGGTTTGGCCATTCGTAAACTAACCAAAACTGAACAACCCAACCATAGATATATATATTAATATTTTATATTTTAAATATATTTTTTTAATACAGAAAAGCGGAAAAATTCCTATATTTCTTAGTCTAAAGTATTTTATATCATAAATTTGATTTTTTAATTTATTTTTTAATAATACCACTATAATTTATTAAATTTAAATTTAATTTTTAAGTTTAAATCTTTGAACAAACAAACTAAATTGAAAATAGAACCAAACCAATACAACCCGAGTTGGCTGATTTTCACAAATGGTCAATCAGTTTCGGGTGACAAACTCCCAACTTAACCAGGTTGATTTGGTTTAGCGAAACAACCCACAACCGAACTTAACCAATCCTTGAACACTCTTAATTTCGGCTAAATTAATAGTTTGATCTATAATAAATAACTTTAAGTTAATCTCTAATAATTATTGAAAAATTATAGTAAAAGTACACAACTATTGAAAATAAATTTATAATGAAAGTACAATATATTAAATTAGTCAATAAATAGTGTAATCTCAAATAATAGTTTAATCTCTAATAAATATTCAATAATAAATTATAAAAATGCATAATTACTAAAAATAAATTTATAAAATTATAATAAATACGATAAATTAAATTTCAAAAGCTAAACAATATTTTTTTAATCTCCAGTAATTATTGAAAATTTTTTGTTAAACAAAAAAAATATTTATAAATAATTATTGAATACATATTTATCAAACAATAACAATATCTAATCACTGAATATAAAAAAAAATATTAATTTAGTGTATATATAAATATATATTGAATATACACTTTTATTGTAAAGCTATTACTAATAAATTTTTTTTTTTGAAAGTTATTTTCTATAATTATTAATTTATATAGGTAAAATTATTTATTTAAAATATTATTTAGTTATTTAAATAATTGTTATTTAAAATTTTAAAATTATAATTATTTATTGAATCTAATAATCAGCAAAATCATAATTAGTACTATTATTACACAATTCATTATTAATTTTGTAAAATATTAAATTATTATTAATACGAATATTATGAAATCTATTATAATTATTTTTCTACTTTTAAGATTTTTTTTTAAATTTATTACATAATTTCGTTATTTCAACTATTTAAAATTTAGTCATGTTAAATATTTTGTTATTTAAACATTTAATTAATATGTGAAATATTTAAAAATTTTCATTATTTGAATTTTATTTTTTAATGTTATTACGTAATACTAAATATTTTTTATGTAATTATTTAGCTACTTTAATTTTTTACTTAAGATATTTATTTATTGAAATATTTAAATATTTTTTAAATTTTTTATTATTTGATTAACATTTAAATTAAATAATTTGTAAAATTATGATTTATATTGTTACTACATAATTTCATGATGAAATTTGTAAAAATATAGAATTATTAATAATAAGAATATTATCAAAACTATTAATAATTTATTTTATATTTTGAATAAATATTTTAAAGTTATATAATTTTTTTATAATATTTAAAAAATTGTGAAATTTTTTAATTGAAACTTTATTTAGATAGATGTGGATAAAAAGTGAATAGAAATTTGAGATAGTTTAGGAGAGAATTTATCTACTAAATTAGAGATAATTTAAGATATAAATAGGAGTTAGAGATAATTCAAGAGATAAATAAGAATTAGATACAAATTGGGAGAAAGTGGGGGAAGTGATGCCACTTGGCTAAACATTAGAAAAGCAAATCCCTCTTTCTTTTGTGGTTGTTATAAATAGTTAAGCCTATTGTATTTTCTTATAGGTTTAATGGGAAATTATATGGAATTAAAAATATAAAATTCAAAAAAAAAGGAAATTAGAAAGGGGTTTGGATATGGATGCAAACGTATTGGATCGAATTCAAATCAGGGTATACTCGAATCCAATCTGACACTGTTCATGTCGGATCCGATCTGATTCAAAGATATGATCTAATCTGATCTGATAGGACTCGACCTAAATTTGAATCCTATCGGATCTTCATATCTGATTTGATCGGACTTGTTTTCTTTAAAAATTAATAAATTATTAAAAGTATTTTTTAATTATTTTCATCATACATACATGTTTTTTATAAAAAAATAAATAATATAACAAATTTATAAAAATACAATATAAATAATATATTTATAAATAAATAATTAAGATATATATGTATTATATATTTATATTTATAAATATATAACATATTGGATCGCATCTTCTTGGATCGAATAGGGAGTTGATCCGAATCCGATCCAATTTCTTATTGGATCATAAGATCTAATCTGAAGATCCAACCAGGGGTGATCCAAATTCGACTAAATAGGATCAGATCTCAGATCGAATTATGATCCAATAGGTTTGGAGAAAGGAGAGGCATGGTAACATGTATATATATATAGATAGATAGATAGATAGATAGAGTGCTTATCAAATTTAGTTTTAGACATAAAATATAACAAAATTTATAAGAAAATCACGAGACTTTTTATATACCCTTAATTACATAATTAGTTTGAATCTTAACAGATTCTAAACAATAAAGATCGGTCTCAATCAAATTATTAATGAAGACACAAACAGTAAATCATAGAACCAGAACTGACTATCCATTGGCAATTCTACGGTAATCAATATTAAGGCTGCATTTGGCATTCCTTAATTCAAGGATTT